CTGTGTGGCTTGGGCCATCACAAAGAGAAATTAAATTCATAACAAGTTATCTCAGGACACTTTTCAAATAGAGTAGCTCTTGGCCATCTATTACAAAATGTGGGATTTGCACTTTTTATGATCCGCATTTTGAATTAGTTAAAGCTTTCTGACAGTCTTTTTGGGGAGTTTTGTTAAAAATATAAAATATACAAATGAAAATATTATATAATGGACCATATTATCATATTTTCATCCTCAAAGTGCAACTCCCACACTTTGTAATAACCACCATGATATGTAATAATTTACTGCGATACATACATACACACTTCTCCCAAATTTGTCATGGCTGTTCAGTTGGGTGGTGACTGGTTTGTAGTATAAAAATGTGAATCACATTTTATGGCCTTTACAGTCAGTGATCTGCTGTGGGTGGGAACATTGTAATCCTGGAAGTGACAGTGTCCATCAGGATAAAAGTGATACCCACCAACTATACACCAATACTACGATGAACTAAAATTCACTGATAATATCTGGCCTGCTAATTTTTCCAATTGGGCTTGGTAGTTATATTATTATATCTCAAAAATACTATGGTTTCAGCTGTGATATTGCATTTAATAAAAAGTGTGTTGATTGACATCATTACATGTTCTACCTTTTATCAACCATAAATATCATACAGTGGTAAAAAAGACAAGTGCTGATCCTGAAATATTTAAGAAGAAAGGCACACTGTGTATAACCTACTCTGGAAAAGTGCACAGCATATCTTGATGGAAGTCGAAGAGGACAACAACCAATCATTTGTTGGTTAATTGGGTGACAAGTGATAGAAATCGGACGTGTGCTCCCTTGTGATAGTGTGTCTTTGTGTGTCAACACACTCAGTCTTCTTGTTGCTCTGTAACAGCTTCGTACTGTGGTGGCCGTCTGTAGAGACAGTAGTGCTGAGTCATGAAGAGGATGTCAAAAACCACAGAGAACAGACCCAGACCAAACTTTGTAGGATCACCAAATATCAGCCTCCATTCGTCTAAGGAGAGACACACTCGTTAGTACAAACAACATGCTCTGACAGTCAGATATACAGTATACCATTGTGTATGCAGTAGGTGGTAAAAATATTTTATCAGTTAAATTCAATCTTTATGCAAATACTGTCCTCTGCATTCATTTTTTGCCAGGCTAATGACCATATTTTCAATATTTAACCGGTTCTACAGGATCTCCTGGACAGTGTTCTTGGAAAATAACCCTAACCCTGTTAAAAGGCAGAAACCTAGGACAGACCCTTCCGCTCTAGGTGGGTGGTCGTCTGCTTCGAAAAGCGGGCAGTAGAATTGACATGGATGTTCTGTTTTAGAATAAACTCTAAAAATATATTATGTTAACACAATGCAGAAGCAATATTATATTAGTTACACATATCTGCAAATGTTAACATGTTAACATGGTGAACATCAACATATTAGGGTTAGACGAAGACATTTTTTTAGCAGTGTAGCAGCAAGAATGTATATACGGACCGCCTATTATGAGAGACAGGTCCAGGACATATGTGATTGGAGGATGACTATTGCAGGGTCCATTTCAGTCAGGACACGCATATTCAAAGTTTTAACCATTTACTAGTATAGTTTGGTAGTGTGGCTCAACAGTTGTACTGAGTTTATTAAAACGGACATCAGGCAAGATGCAAGGCTGCTGAGCCTTGTTACAAATAAGTATGTTGTATTTTTTATAACTTCATGCAAGCTCGCATGACGTTCTCATCTGGATGCAGAAAGATGACCAGGCATGCTAAATTTAATCAGATGAACACCAGGGAAGATAATGGTAGGATCTTCATACAAAGGAAATATATGAAATATGAGATAATGTGTAGTGACAAACATGTTGCATTTTTGAATGATTTGAATTCATACAAGTGTTCTTTAGCTTCTTGTCAGGCAAGATTACGAGATGCAGTATCCAGATTCAATTACATATAAGGTCACAGTCACTTCTCATGACAAGGGCTGTTGTCATATTAGTCTAAATGTAGTGTGTGTTTTCACTTTTTTTAAGTTAAGTTGTTAAGTACTATTTCTGAGTGTAATTGTCTGGGAACCTATTACATAATGCCACTCAACTCCAGCCTGTTGGGAAAGCAAAGCAGCTCTTCATATGCTACACCTGAGAACAGCTCCTTCTGCTACGCCCAGACTGCTCAACTGCACCACAACTACCGACAGAACTGTGATCTGCGCTACATCAGCTTCTGTGAGGACTGATGTATACCAACATGACAAACCTTGATTCACAGCAAAGCTTAGACAGATAAAGTTGGAAAAGGAAGAAGTACAGCACAGAGTATCAAATATCATAAAGTACATTGGATACCGTTGTTGTAAGACTGTAAGATCATCTGTAGAATACTGAGAGTTCCACCAGTGAAGTCCAGCAACACATTGCCAATACTCCACCCCTCAGTGCTCTGTCTTTTGTAGTTCATGTAAGCCTGGAAAAAAAGAATGAAAAATACAACAAAATACAATACTGAACTGAATTTTATGGAGTAGCACTGAAGCAGACTGCAGTATACTGCATGCTGTATTGATCAATTTTACAATTAACATGGAACCTGTGAAACTGTATTGCCTTTTGATAATCAGTGTGTTTCAATATGCAGTTAATAGAAAATATAGAAACATTACACACACACTAATGGATACAACAGTCCTGTCAGAGGTGCTACTTTTATGAAACTTAGAATTTAAGTGGCTGACACAGTAATGGCATTCTTGTTCTTCACAAACTACAACAACTACAATGCCTCTCTGACAGTAACGGTCTCAAAACACACAACCAACATAAACAGGGTGTAGTATTTACTGCATGACTACTGTACTGCAATGCATTACACTGTCCGGATGTTTCCATTTTTCATCTCTGTATGTGTACAGATTGTACAGCTTACCTGCGGCACATATTTGATCAGAGTAACTGCGAGTTTAATGTAGGAGAAGTAATAGAGGTAATCCAGCCAGGTGATTTGTCTGGCTACAGCAACAAACAAACTTATCAAGGCAAATGTCCAGCCAATCAGCAACAAGAACAAGGCTGTCCAGGAGACCCTCTGACCCCCCCTCTGGAAGAGAAAGAAACAGAGCATTACACACTGATACAGTGTCAGGATATCCTGTCAGTTCCAAACACTCACACACAAACACAAGTGACGAAATCATAACTTAAAGTAATTCTAAAGATGCTCACTAATTCAAATTGCCTAGCCTCTGAATTTTTTGTGTGCTCTTAAATGACTGTCAATGAAAGTCAACACTTCTTGCTGATGTTTTACTATATTTTTTTGACATTATATGATAGTGACAGCAGGAGAGGCAGGAGAGACAGGTGAGAGTGAGGAGGACTCTGCCTACCCCCAATGTCCACCATGTATTATGTGTCAAGGCTGAGAGGCACCATCAGTGAATTAAGTGGGAGAGGACCCAGCACCCAGTTTTTATTCTGGAGCTATAAGCCAAGATACTTTGTATCTGTACACAGTAAAACAATTTCAGATTCTGAATACTTTTGACTTGAGATACATTTTCTATCACAAGCTTCTCTACATTACACACACCTCATAGACAGCAGCCTGGGTAACGTAGACCAAACACAGCAGGACAGCATGGAGACTGAAGAAGACATCATTAGCACTGACAGGGTTAATTCCATTCGGGTTCCTCTTCAGAAACTCCTCCTACAGGACAGACACATGGCAGCTTAACAGACAAATATACTGTTCATGTAGGCAGCTGTGGCTCAGGATGGAGACTGGGTCGTCCACTAATTGGAAGGTTGGCGGTTCCTCCCACAGCATGTGGAAGTGTCCTTGAGCAAGATATTGAACCCCAAATTGTTCCCGATGCTGTGCATCAGTGTATGAATGTGTGTGAATGGGCTAGTTTCTGTTTGTGATGGCCTTTGCCAGCATGTACCTGATGTGTCCTCTTTTGAATATCTGGCCTTCAAATCAAAACCCCCCTCCAAGATAAATGCAGTACTGGTCTACCGGCCGCCCAAACCTCACCCATCCTTCATCGCAGAGATCCATGACCTCCTCACCTCCCTCTGCTCTCTATCTTCCAATAATATTATACTTGGCGATATGAACATTCACATTGAAAATCCCTCCTCCCCGTTGGCAGCTGATTTTCTTAATGTTCATTTTGGACTGTCTCAACTCACACAGCTGTTGATGCACCTACTTCACACCAGGGGGCGCACTTTAAACCTGGTTATCTCTGACTCCTCCTTCCATCCACAATCTGTTGGTATATGATCTGGGCGTTCTGATCACAGCATCATCTCCATGGACGTTGCCCGTCCCCTCGCCAAAACGTGATATTCATTCTTCGCAATATAAAACATCCAAACCCTTGCCATCTTGTCTTTCCCATCTGCCTCCAACTGGCCTGCGCCTCAGTCAACCATCCATGCAGTCAAACAAACTCGGTCCGAAACCTACAATATTCTCCTTTCACTGCTCCTGGATACACAATGCCCCCCCTAAAACAAGAACTTGTGTTTTTCTCCCCGCACCGCCCCCTGGTTCACTGGATAAACTGCGCAAGGTGAAGGGCTGCTGGGCCCGTGCATTGAAGGCGTGTAAAAATCATTCTGGCCTGGTGGTACACAAGCGGCCTACATAACACCACCCAGAAGGCCTATGGCCAGCGGCCTAAAAAAAAAAG